TATTGATATACATAATATATATAAGTGTATATATATGTGTGTGTGTGTATAGATATACTTTTTTTCTTTTTTTTTGGTATTGGGGATCGAACTCAGGTCCTTGCACTTGCGCAGCAGGCGGTAAAGCCACTGAGCTAAATTCTCGGCCCTCTTTATATATTTTTGGTGTTAGTTCTCTGTCCCTGGAATAGGTGGCCTAAATTTTTTCCCATTCTGTAGATTATCTCTTCACTGAGTTGGTTGTTTTCTTTGCTATGTAGAGGTCGTTTAATTTGATGTGATCCCATTTGTGATTCTTGGTATTTTTTCTGGTGCCAATGGGATTCTGTTCAGAAGGTCCTTGTTTATGCCTACGTCCTAAAGAGTTGTACCTATTTTATCTTCCAGCAGATTATGTCTGTTTTAACATTTAGATTTTGATCCATTTTGATTTTAGTTTAGTACATAGTGAGATTCTAATCTCATTTCTATCTTCTATTATTTTATTGACAGTTTGGTCTGTTATTATGTCTTTTCCTTGCCCCTCCCTTGGGTTAAAAAATTTGTCACTTTTCTCTGTTTCTTTCTTTTGGCACCAGGGATTGAACTTGGGTCCTTGCGCTTGCGCAGCAGCTGACGAAACCACTCAGCTAAATCCCTGGCCCCACTTTTCTCTTTTATTCTCATTAAAAAAAATTTTTTTTTCTGTACTGGGGATTGAATCAGAGGCCTTTGCACTGAGCTAAATTCTCAGCCCTTTTTAATTTTTTTTAATTTTAAGATACTACAGATGCTAAATTGCTCAGGCTGGGCTGAAACTTGTGATCCTCCTGCCGCAGCCTGCCATAGTGCAGGCATTACAGGGATTTGGCATCATGCCCAGCATTTGTTTGTTGTTTTCTAAGACAATGTCTTGTTATGTTGCCCAGGCTGGTCTCCAACTCCTGGGCTCAAGTGATCCTCACACCTCAGCCCCTAGCTTAGTTGTACCACTACTCTTGGCTTCCCTTTTTTTTTTTTTTGGTACCAGGGATCGAACTTGGGTCCTTGTGGTTGTGAGGCAGGCGGTGGAACCACTGAGCTAAATCCCCGGCCCTTGGCTTCCATTTTTAAAACTTTTGGCCAGGCACGGTGACATTCACTGTAATCTCAGTACTGTAGGAGGCTGAGGCAGGAGGATTATAAATTTGAGCACCTTGTGGGAAATTAGTGATTTAGGGAGAGACTGTCTCCAAAAAAAAGTCAGAAAAGGGCTGGAGATTTAGTTCAATATACAGGTCCTTGGTCCAATCCCCAGTATCACAAAAATAAATAAATAAAACACAAACTTTTGATTGAGGCAAATATGCATCCAGAAGAGGGCCCATAAGTTTGTAACCTGAACACACGTCAGTCAGCATAGATTAAGAAACAGGATACAGGGGCCAGGGATTTAGCGCAGTGGCTCCAAGCCTGCCTGGAAAACACAAGGTCCTGAGTTCGGTCCCTGGCGCGCGCGCGCGCGCGCGCACACACACACACACACACACACACACACACAAAAGAAAGAAAGAAATAAAGAGGATACAATCAGCAATTCACAAGCTTCCTCATGTTCCCCTCTAGTTATTTCTCCTCCAGATTGACCACCTTGGCTTCTAAAAGCATGGACATTTGGGTAATTTTAGCTTGGGACTGTTACAAAGTGTGGACATGAGATTTTTGGACATGTCTTCTTGAACATATGTGGACATTTCAGTTGGGTATATAACTAGGAGTGAAATTGTTGGAACAAACGCTATTCATATATTCAGCTTTAGTTGACAGTGTGAACAGTTTGAGTGTGTCAAATTCACATTCCCTTCAGGAGTTTGTGAGCATTGTGGTTGCTTCTCAATCTTGCCAATACTTGGGATTTTCCCATATTTTCCTTTTTTAGCCACTCTGGTGATTATCTAATGCTATCTTATTGTGGCCTTAGTTTGTATTTCCTTTTATGGTTTTTGTTTTTGTTTTGGTACCAGGGATCGAACTTGGGTCCTTGTGCTTGTGGGGCAGGTGGCAGAACCACTGAGCTAACTCCCCAGCCTATGGTTTGTTTTTCAGATACTGTATATCAAGCAGGAACAGATAAAAATGCAGGAAGCTAATCTTCTATTCCCCTCTCCCATTATGGCTACCTATCTAATGGGACTTAGAACCTTCTTCTCTGTATTGGAGGCAATATAATATAGAGGATGAGGGCAACAAGCTTTGCAATTATATATGAGGCAGCTAATGTGTGCTATACTAAGATTTGATTCTTAGTGGCAATGTTTACTTGCTGAGGTATCTTGAGAAAGTTATTTAACTCCCCCTCCTTTTTTTGATAAATACAGTAGTACTAGTAATAGTACAGCCTTATGGGGCTGTTAGGGGATTAATTGCCACTAAATAATTAAAATGCTTTACAAAGTTCCTAGGACACTGAAAGCCAGGGATAGGTGTACATACCTGTAATCCTAGTTACTGGAGAGGCTGAGGCAGAAGGGTCACAAGTTGGAGGCCAGTGTGGGTAATTAAAAATAAATAAATAAAAGTTCTTAGCAATAGAGCAAGCACATATACCTTATATTGATTGCTTTACTTTTGAGACAGGGTCTCACTATGTAGTTCAGGCTTGCCTGGAACTCATGGCAATCCTTCTGCCTCAGCCTTCCAAGTGCTAGGATTACAGGTAAGTGCAACCAAGCCTGGCCCTTATATTGATTGTTTATGCACACCTCATTTCTCCTTTTGTTGTACACAATCCATGACAAAGGAACAGCATGTAGCACACAACAGCTGCCTCACAAATAATAGCTGCTAATAAATACTGAATGATTTAATGTATAAACAGAAGGTATTATAGCTGTTGTAACAAAAGATGGCATAAAATATTAAAGATTATAGGGTAATGTGCACTGCTAAGGAAGAATAAATGATCTAAACACACTGTCATCATTTAATAGTTAAGAAAATGAATGTAGTAGAGAAACATTACCCAAGGTAATAAAGGATGAAAATTAGATGTCCTACATTGCATTTTGGAATGTTCTATAGGCATCTCCCTCCAATACCAAAGGGAAAAAACAAAGATATCATCGCAGAAACAAAAACACCATTTTTCTGAAAAGATGTTAAACCTTCCAATTTTAACAGGTCCTTTATTCAACAGTGGAGAAACTGAGGTAACAGGTGCCCAAGCAGCTTCCGTACAAGATGGCCTCTCCCATTCACACACCCAGTTGAGGCTACGTCCTCCTAAGATGCCGCCGGACCGGAAGTGGTTACTACCCTAGTAGATCCGGGTGGGTTCGCGGAGGCGGTCGCGGAGGTTCCAGTTTTTCAGCGTGAGGTGTCGCAGGTGTTCAGACCCGGGTCAAAGCTGCAGGTAAGAGAAGCTTAGGGGTCGGCGGAGCCTTCATTGGGATTATGCGCGAGGCAGACGGGATTTCTTGAGAAGGGTCCCGATGCTGGTGGTACCACAATGTGCGTGGGCGACCATTGCTGGGATCTGGTCGTCCGCCAGCGAATTGGTCCTACCCTTGTCCCCGCCCTCGAGCGCGGCCTCCTTGTGCCCCTCACGCCAGACCAGGAGCTATTCAGTTACCAGGTGTGCAGAGTGTCTTCATCCCGCCCTTCGGTCCCTACTCCCTCCCCGGGCCGCCCTGTTCGCCCCCCTTGCCCTCTCTTTAGGAGCATCTGCCAAGCCCTCGGGCCGTCTTGGACCCCGTGAGCTGAAAAGCAGGGCCCGTCCGCCCAACCGGGGCTCCTCGTATCCGTAGCGGCGGTTCCCACCCCGCTAGCGTGGGGACCAACCCCGACTCAGTACACGTGCTGCTCAGGGCCTTGCTCCGTGCCAATTCTGGTTTTCACACTCGTGGGATACATCAAGACATGAGTCGTGAACCTTATTTATTACAGAAGTGACACCTGCTCATTGAAATGCAAACTCAAGCCTTGATACTCAAACTCCTTTATATACCTGTTCATTGAAAACACAAAACCACTTGTATACTTTATAGAAAGAATTACAACTAAAGGTTGTGGGTGTTCAGTTTTTTGTTTTTGCAGTGCAGGAACTGAACCCAGGGCCTATGGATATCCTTTCAGGGATGGCGAGCCTTTTAGCTCTTTCAGTGATACAAACAACCTGCTGTGGCATGCGTTCCATAGGTTCCACACCACTGGAGGCTCTACTGCTGAGCTACCTCGCTAGCCCTAAAAGGCTTTGTTAATTATCTAAATTAGAAAGTGTGGGAGAAAAGAGATTTAGTAGATTGGAGAAAGAAATGGTTACATTTGGCCAAATTGAGCGTGTTTTAAATAAGTATTTAGAAATATCTGTTATAGTTGTAGTCCTTGCTTATTGTCTTGTAAAAAATCATGTAAAATATTTAAACAAGAGAGATCCTCTTTGGTACATATTTTTTCCATGTTTGTCTTAGAAGAACTGATATTAGTCTGAGGTGTATTTTTCTATTTCTTTACATCTACTGACAAATGTATACATATGGTGTATATTTAAGATTTCATGTTAATCTTTTACAATGCATGGTTTTACAAATATGGCATATTGTACATATTCTACAATTTGATATTTTATGCTTAAAAAAGGATCTTGAACTATTTTCTTGGTCAATATATAGAGACCAACCTATTTTACTTGCTCTGTAAGATCCATAGTCCATTAACATTTCATACTATGCGGAATTCCATAATTGTTCCCAGCATTCTGCTGCTCAGAATGTGTGGAGAACACCCTTACTTATGCCTTTGTGCTCACGTGAGCATTCTTCAAGGATAGATGCCTGTGGGTGGAATTGGTCCTGTAGGTGGAATTGTTGGATGGAGAATGTAGACTTTTAATGATATGGAACTGCCTACCAATAGTGTATAATAATGCTTATTTTACCCTAGGCTCTTTTAAACATTTAGTCAGTATCAATCTTTGTTATTTTTCCACACCTGGCTCTTGAGACATTAATTTGAAAAGCTACATTTATTATTACTAACTTCTCACACACATGGCTGTGTTTCTGAACTTTCTTCTGTTCTGTAGCTTATTTATTTTGCTGAACCCTAGCACCAAACATCCTATATAGACAGTATTTTATACTTTCAATTTAGTAGGACAAATATGCTTACATAATTATTTTGTTGGAATTCATATGCTTTTTCAGCTTACATGCTCCCTTATTTTATTTATTATTTATTATTTATTATTTTTTGGTACCAGGAATCAAACTCAGGGCCTCACGCTTGCCAGGCAGGTGCTGCACCACTGAGGTATATCCCCCTCCCATGCTCCCTTATTTAATTAAATTAATTAATTAATTAAATCATAGTTGTTCCCTTTATTTAACGAGTAACATTGGCACACAGCAGTAGACAGAGGGAACTGGAAGAAAACAAACTTCAGCAGAAGGCAACATGAGGACTGTGTTGTATGCCTGAATGAAGAGCTCTTGGGAGTAATTATTGAAGCACTGAAACAGGAAGGAGAGGCCATGCTCCCTTGTTTTAAAAACAGTATTTTTAGCTAATCTTGGTTTCTTTTCCAGAAATTTTGCTGTTGTTGTTCTGGGGATTGAACCTAGGGCCTTGCACAAATAAGGCAAGTGCTCTACCACTAAGCTGCATCCCCAGCCCCAGAATATTTTTATTTTATTTTATTTATTTATTTTTTGAGACAGGATCTCACTATGTAGTTCAAGCCGGCCTTGAACTGACTGTGTTGTCCAGGCTGGCTGAGAATTTGCAGTGATCCTCTTGCCTCAGCCTCCTGAGTGCTGGGATTACAGGTGTGGTCCACCACACCTGGCTCAGATTATTTTTATCAACTTGTCAGAATATTTTTTGTGGCTTTATTCAGATGTAATTCATACGTCATACAATTCATTATTCATAATGTACAATTCAGGGCCAGGGATTCAGCTCAGTGGCGCCATGCCTGCCTTGCAAACAAAAGGTCCTGAGTTCAATCCCCAGTACAAAACAAAACAAAACAAACAAAACAAAACAAAACTAGTGGTCACTCCCTAGTACCATCTCCCTGGGCAACCTCTCACCCTCTTGTCTTCGTAGATCTGGATGTTTATATAAATGGAATCACACAGTATGTGGTGTTTTGTGACTGGCTTCCTTGACTTAACAGTGTTTTCAAGTTCATGCATTCTGTAGCATCTACTGTATCATTCCATTTTATTGCAGAATAAAATTCTATCCTATGGTGTATTTGTTTTCTAGAGCCTCAGTAACAAAATAACACAAGCCCGATTGCTTAAAACAATGGAATTTTATTTTCTCACAGTTCTGGGAGCTAGAGCTTGCAGTAAGGGTGTCTGCAGGGCTATGCTATCTCTGGGCTCCAGGGGAAGAGTCTTTTCTTGGCTCTTCCTAGATCTGCTGTTGTTGGCAGTCCTTGACATTCCTTGGTTTGCAGTTGCATAAACCCATTCTGTGCCTCTGTGTTCACATGGCTGCTTGCCTGTATGTCTTTATGTACCATTCTATCTGTGTCTCCTCTCCTCTTCCTGTAGGACACCAGTCAGACTGGATTAATGGCCCAAATCACTTTAGTGTGACCTCATCATCATTGTGCCTGTAAAGACTTTTTCCAAATATGAGTAAGGTCATATTTACACCTAACAGGCACTGGGGGTTAGAGCTTCAACATAATCTTTTTGAGGGACACAGTTCAACCCGTAACATGGAGATACGCTACATTTTAGGTATCCTTTCATCAGCTAATGGACATTTGGCTTGTTTCCACTTTGGGGATAGAACTGTAGAAGTAACGCCTCTGTGAACTATTGATTTACTTATTCTTTTGGTACTGGGGACTGCACTCAGGGGTGCTCTACCACTGAGTTGTATCATGTCTTTTTAAAATTTTTTTAAAATTTTGAGACAAGATCTCAGAAAGTTACCCAAGCTGGCCTTAAACTTGTAGTCCTCCTAGCTCAGCCTCCTGAAGTAGCTGAGAGTAGAGGTGTGTGCTTAGCTTGGTATGAACTTCTGTTTGGGCATATTTTCATTTCCCCTGAATTTGTAGCTGAGAGTGGGCTTGAAGGGTTGTATGGCAAATCTATGTTTAACCTTTTGAGGACCTGCCAGACTTTTCCAGAGCAGCTGGACTATTTGATATTCCTACTGACAATGTATGAATGTTCTAATTTCTGCCAACACTAATTATTGTGGGTTTCTTGGTTTTTTAAAATTTTTGTGAGTGCCATCCTAGTGGTTGTGAAGTGGTGTCTCATTGTAGCTTTAATTTATAGTTCCCTGGGCCAGGGATGTAATGCAGTGGCACAGCGCCTGCCTGGCAAATATGAGGCCCTGAGTTCAATTCTTGGCCCCCCCCTAAAAAAAAAGATTTGTAGTTCCCTAATATTGTATTTCCCCCAAAATAAGACCAGGTCTTACATTAATTTTTGCTCCAAAAGTCGCAATAGGGCTTATTTTCAAGGAATGTCTTATTTTTTGTGTATAACGATCTGCATTTATTCATGTACCAAAATTTACATTCATTCAAATATAGTCATGTCCTCTTCTTCTGGAAAATTGTTGTAAGTCTTCAAGCCCTGAGTTCTGGCCTGAATGTCTTTCAACTCCATTTCTTGTAGAACTATTGACCCCAATATCTCATGTCCAACAACAGACCTCTCCTTGAATGAGCATTTCTTGTCCAAGTAGCCCGCTTGTAGTGCATTGACATCACAGCTATCAGCAATTTTATCTCATGAATTCTTTTTTTTTGGTATGGGAGATCGAACTTGGGACCTTGTGCTTGTGGGGTAGGCGCTGGAAACACTGAGCTAAATCCCCGGCCCTATCTCATGAATTCTTCACCCAAGTCACGACCACTTGCAGGCTGGCCTTCATAAAGTTTCCATTAAATCAGGTGTTCAAAATTGAAGACTTATGATACAGGAGTGGCAACAAAAATGATGGTGGTTAAGAACAATGGTCCACACAAAAGTGACAACAGCCACAGATTTATCTTCAGTTCAGTAACTCGCTGTTCATGTAGCTGATCGACTATTTAACCTCTCTGTTGAGTACTTAGTTTTTAAAGGATTTTTAAAAACCTTTTTATACCTAGAATTTCTTTTTCGCTTTCTGCTCTTTTTTTTTTTTTTTTGGTACTGGGGATCGAACTCGGGTCCTTGCGCTTGCGCAGCAGGCGGCGAAACCACTGAGCTAAATCCCCAGCCCCTCCTGCTCTTTTTTTAGTGATTATTTCCCTTAATATGTCTGAGTATCTTCCTTAAGAGATATTTCCTAATATCTTTTAAAATCAGGTATGGAAAGTATTGTTTGGCTCTACAAACTTTTTATTGGGTTTGGAGTTTGTTGGGTTTTTATTCATTTATGAGCTCTCATCCAGGGACTTGCGTTCTGTGGAAGTCCTGCATGTTTCCTATGTGCTAGAAATATGTGTACTGTGTACGGCACTTCTACATTTGGCTCTGATCAGTTCCAGCAGAGTCCCCCAATTTTGATCCAGTTTTAATTTAGTTTCTTGACTGGAAGTTTCCTTTTGAAAGGATAATGTGGACGTGGGCTCTGTACCGGCACCACCTGCAGACTTGAGGTCTGTCCTGTCCTGAGGGACTCTGTTTTACTTCCATCCTGGGAAGCTGGCTTACATGGACGACAGCAGGTGAACACTTTCTGGTCCCTGTCCATGGACAAGGCAGCACTTTGGTGGGTCCCGGTGTGTCCTGAGCATATGCCCTAGACTCCTGTCCCCAGATCTTGTGAAAGAGCCCAGTGCTGGGGCTGCTGAGAGTTCTGCCCTCTGCCCAGTTTCATCTCCCACCTACTGTGGGTCCCCCTCTTCCATTTCTGGTGCCTTTCTTCTTCCTTCTTGGCCTCTTCCTCCCCCACCTCTTCCTTCTCCACCCCTTTTCCTCTTCTTACAAAAATTACTTTATTTATTTATTTATTTATTTTTGGTACTGGGGATTGAACTTGGGACCTTGCGCTTGCAAGACAAGCGCTGGAACCACTGGGCTAAATCCCTGGCCCATTACTTTATTTCATTAAGCCTATTTTATCTTCAATAAAAGTACAGGAGAAAATACACATGAAATACCACAGTGTGTAAAGTAAATTTTAAAAAACAGTATGGCTATTAGCATATTTTATTCTTATTGTAGTCATTATTGTGATTCCATTTTCATTTCTAATAGCCAAATATCTCTGCAGACATCGCATAATTCAGGGTTGTTGTAATGTGAAACATTAAGAACAAGATTAAAACAGTGCATACTCACACAGAGGTGTGGCATTGGGCAGGTGCCACAGACTGTTCTGTGTTCCGGCAGTTTAGATTTCAGACCAGAGCCCACAGATGGATAGCCTAGCTTCCAGAGTGTTTTTGTTGGACTGACATAACTTTAGGAAACTATACATTTTTTGCTAACATTGAAAAGTGATGGCATTTCCTGGGAAATTCAGATCCCTGAGTTCTTCTGAATAAGCTCAGTGTCTAACTACAGGCCAGCTCCTCACACGGCTTGTGCCAAATGGTTGCTGCTCATGTCCTCCACTGAGGCAAAGGCCACTTACATTTAGTATCACATTATTACTGAGTTTTTAAAATAGCACTGAGTGGTCAGGGATTTAGCTCAGTGGTTTCTCTGCCTGCTGTGCAAGCACAAGGACCCGAGTTTGATCCCTGGTACCGAAAAAAAAAATAGCACTGAAATAGTACTGTATACTCATTTATCTCTCAAAAAGTGGGTAAAACAAAAGATACATGGTGAAAGCCACATGTAATGTAATAGAAAAGGGACTGTTTCGTGGCTTGCTTCATTTATTAATGTTAACCTGCCTGGCCCTGTGGACATTTCAGTTGAAACCTTCCTCTGGGCATCTTGGATCTAAGTGCCATTCTTTTCTTTTTCTTCTCCAATCCTTTCTTCCCTTTTGTGTTGCCCTGCCTTACTCTGCAGTAACTGAATCGATTCTATGGAGTACTACTGTGACTTCAGGAGTTACAGGAAGTGTTTACTCAAGCCCATTTCCTTCCCTCCTGCATTTCCCACGCCTTCCAGAAGAGCAGAACAGTCTTCCCACCAACTTACTGATAATTAAGATTCTTTGTTTAGTTGTGAAGTAAAGCTTTCATTCAAGTGGTAGGAGACTAAAGTTTTTAAAGTGCAAACACATTGAAGAAGAACTATTAACTAAAATATTCATTTGCTAATAGCCCAAAGTGAGAGTCTAGCTTCTTCTGTTTTGATTGATACGATTTTATATCACTAAGAGAGTCCTGGGCAACTGTCGTAGGGCAGGACTGAAGATAGGGTAGAATCAAAAACTAAAAAAATGAAAATAATTAAAATATTACTGTTTCATGTGGAAATTTGTAGCAGATATTTTAGTTTGTAGTCACAGGGATTATAAATGGAACTTTTTAGGGGAAATCTTGTTTATACGCAGCTTTATATTCTGTATATAAATATATTTTTGCCATTTGTTTTGCAGATTGTGGAATTAGTGAGATGCTTTCCTAAACAGTAGAAGGTTGAACATGTCTAGACAGAACTTGATGGCTTTGACAGTGACCACCCTGCTGGGTGTGTCTGTGGGGGGGTTTGTCCTGTGGAGGGGCATCCAGCGCCGGAGGAAGAGCCCTGTGACCCTGGAACAGCTCCCGTTGCCGCCCCCGCCGCCGCCGCCGCCGCCGCCGCAGCAATCGCCAGGCAGGACAGCGCAGTCCCCTCCAGAAGAGGACCAGCTGCCCTCTGGTGTCCCCAGACCCTCGTGGGAGGAGAGGATCCTCCAGGCAAAGGTGGTGACAGTGTCTCGGGAGGCAGAGTGGGATCAAATCCAGCCCCTGCTTTGGAGTGAGTTAGAAGATTTTCCAGTGCTTGGAATCGACTGTGAGTGGGTAAGTTAAAATGCAAAAATTAAAAAAAAAAAACTCTTCGTTTTTCCGACTAGGAGCCTTGGACAGTCAGTAGAGAATAGATGAAGGGTGAATTAGCTTGTTCTCAACTGGTTTGTAAGTAAATTTTAGCCAGAGAAGCCTCTGCCTTTCTCAGGATAAGGGAGTGTTTCAGTTCCGGAGTTCGAGCGTCCTGTGTGTGTCCATCTTCACTGCATGCTCTGTGAATTGGTACAAGCTCCTTAGCCTCTCCTAGAAGCAATGTGCTTGTTTGTGATAGGAATGTAATGGTCCCAGCCTCCAGTGGCTTTTCTAGGGATTTAAGGGGATAATTGCTGTAAAGGTTTCAGCACAGTTTTAACATAGTAAGTGCTTATTTGTTACTACCACTAACATTTTAATTGCCTTCTCATAAGGATGCCACAGAGAAGTTAGTTAAGAAGTCCTATTTAAATGGAAATTATTACTTGAATTAGGATTTTAAAAGATAATGAACATTTGAAACATCATTTATTCTAAGTTAAGCCATGCACTCTGCTGATTTGCTTGCCTCATCTCATTTTGTTTTCCCAATAATCCTAGGTAGGAAGATAATATTGTTATCTCACTTTATTGATAGGAAACAGATTTAAAAAGGTATAGTCCCATGCCCCAGGTCACATAGCTAATTACCAACATTTGAGCCCAGGGCGTTCTAAACCATCTGGTTAATTTTTCTAATAGCTGTCATTTTGAGGAATTGTTACATAGTTAGAATGAGGATAATATGCCAAATCCACCAGGTGTGGTGGCACACGCCTGTGATCCCAGTGCTAGGAGCTGAGGCAGGAGGATTGCTGTGAGTTCGAGACCAGCCTGAGCTACACAGTCTCAAGTACATGGCAAGACCCTGTCTCAAAAAACTGAAGAAGAAAAAAAAAATCTACTCTTCTGTCATTGTGATTCACAGAGATTAAAAAATAAAATAGCTCTTAGTTATCATCTTTTATTAACACTTTGTCAAGATTCTCAGATAGGTCTTCTGGCTATCTAGAATATAGCCACATTCCAGGAAATGTAATGAAAGGAGGTCCTAAGCAGAATGACTGCCACCAAATCACAGGTTGGCAGGAGAGGCTACTAGATGCCAACAAAGTGATGACCAGGAAAAAAGCCTTTACAGGTCCTGAGGTTTTTTGTTTTGTTGTTTTCTTGTACTGGGGATTGAACTAGGTTCAACTAGTACAGCCTTTGCACTGAGTTACATCTCTAGCTCTTTTTTTAAATTTTAATTTTGACATAGAAACTAGCCAAGTTGCCCAGGTTTTGATCCTCCTGCCTCAGCCTCCCAGAGTGCTGGTATTGTAGGTGTATACCACTATGCTTAGCTCTGAGGATATTTCTTTATAACAGCAATGGTAGTGTTTGCTTATACAAATGACCTTGGATCATCAAGGAAGGATTGAGTGCTTTTAGTCTGTTCTGTATCATTTTAGAAATAATTACATCAAAAGCAGTAGAAGACAACATTAGAACTTAAATGATAAGCCTATCATTTATAGGTTGGGAAAATTCACATTTTCAAATGGGAAAAACGAGGCGGGATGTACCATGTACAGGGCAAATTCCCTATGATGAGTGTTATCATTGTGTATGCCTAAAATGTACCAATAAATGTTTTGTTATTAAAAAAAACTATTCCAACTACATGGAGTATAATTTCAGCAACAACAGGTTAGTCTGAAGTGGATAGTAATGGTAATTGACGTAATTGTGCTCTAATTATGATTGCAGAGGCATGGGTAAGTTAAAATGGCAAATGGTTCAAAGCTCACTTCATCTTTACTTTTGATATGTGTTGAATTCATGCTGGATGCCACATCTCCCTTCAAATAGGATTGCTTTTCCTTGGTTGCTGTCCCAGAAAAATTTCATAAACAAGATATCCACACTTGCTGTATCTAGCCCTCCATTCTTGTTTCCCTTTTCCTTTCATTCACCTTTGGGTATGTATTTGGTCATGATTTCTTTTGTTCTTGTTTTGCTCAGTATTTGTATAAATTTACCAAACTTTATTTTCTTTGCCTAGCTTTCCTTGTATCTCAGACCTCCTTTTTGTGATAACTTTTCTTAAGGTCATTTATTTATTTTTTTCTTAATTAACACATTACTTGTATAAATGAGTGGGTTTTACTGTGATATTTCTGTACATAATGCACTGATCATATCCACTTTCCCTTCTACCCTTTCTCTCTCACCTTTCTCCCCCCACACCATCCCCTTCCTGATCCCTAATGGTTCCTCTTTTAGAAGTTCATTTCTTGATGGCCATTGATAACTACTTTTGTTGTTCTAAATAGGTCTTCATTTTGCTTTTAGTTATAAATGAGTTTTCTGGGTATAACTTTTTTTTTATTTTGGTACAGGGATCGAACTTGGGACCTTGTGCTTGCGAGGCAGGTGGCTGAACCACTGAGCTAAATCTCCAGCTCTGGGTATAACATTCTAGCTTGTCACCCAGTGCAGTGTTATATGCCTGTAGTCCTAGCTACTTGGGAGGCTGAAGTAGGAAGATTGCAAGTTTGAGGCCTGCCAGGATAATTTAGTGAGACCATATCTCAAGATTTTTAAAAATGAAAAGGCCTGGGGATGTAGCTCAGTGGTGGAGCATCCCAGGGTTTGATCTCCAGTACTGAAAAAAAAAAAGACCCAACTTGTCAGTTTATCATTTTCAAGGTAGTATTCCATTGTTTTCTGGCTTCTATTCATGCTGTTGAAGATAATTTTTGATATATTGATTCTTTGTAGGAAATATAATTCTTATAGCTCTTTTATAACTCTTCCTTTTGAGTTTGTGGTTCTGAAGATTCACGTGACGTCTAGATGTTGTTTTCTTTCTTCATTTCCAGTTTGGGATTAAGAGAGATATCTGGATATGAGGATTGATACCTTTCATCAGTTTTAAAGTTTTCTTTGAAGTTTGCTTTATCCTGTTTGTTTTCTTCTTGCTAGTATTTGATTGGATATGTTCTAGACTTTTCAGGCTATCTTTAATGTTTGATAACTTCTTTCTTAAGTTAACATGTCTTAGTCTCTCTGGATTCATTCTGCACAATTTCTTCAGGTCACTTTTATAGTTCAGTAGTGGGAATTGAACTCAGAGAGCACTGAGCTACATACCCAGCCCTTTTTATTTTTTATTTTAAGACAGAATGTTGCAAAGTTGCCCAAGCTGGGTCCAAACTTGCAATCCTCTTGCCTCAGCCTCCTGAGTAGCTTTGATTATAGGTGTGTACCATCACCTCTGGCCTTTTTTTCTTTTTTCTTTCTTAGCTCTATCTAATCTGGTTTTAACCTGCTCCTTGAGTCTTTTTTTTTTTGTATGAAATATAACCTTTATGATCTTTTTATTTGATATGAAATATAACAAATCAAGAAAAGTGCTTGAAATAAAAATAAACAGCTAAATTATTTATTTAAAGAGAACAACTGCCAGGTGTGATGGTGCATGCCTATGATCTCAGCACCTAGGTGGCAACTGCCAGGTGTGGTGGTACATGCCTATGATCTCAGCACCTAGGTGGCAACTGCCAGGTGTGGTGGTACATGCCTATGATCTCAGCACCTAGGTGGCTGAGGCAGGAGGATCATTATGAGTTTGAGGCCAACCTAGGCTACATAGTGAGTTCAAGCCAGCTTGAATTACAGAGCAAGACCCTGTCTCAAACAAACAAACAAAACAAAACTGAAACAAAAAATATATATAATAAAAAGAACAATTGCATAACTAGATCAAGGAGTACCAAATTGCTGGGCATGGTGGTACATGCTTATAATCCCAGCATTTGGAAGGCTGAGGCAGGAGGATTGCTAGGAATTTGAGACCATCCTGGGCTGCATAGTGAGTTCAGAACCACCCTACACTATATACTGAAACCCTGTTTTAGAAATAACCCCACTCAAAAATGAAAGAATGAGATTTCCACTACTACAGAAGCTCCTTTTGTACCCTCTTGTGTCCCCTTGCAATCATTGTACGCTCCCTTCCCTCTGAGGGGTACCGTTAACCTGTTTCATGATATTTATCTTCTTGGCCTTTTAAAAAAAATTTTTATTTTATTGGTGCATTTTAGGTATACAATATAATGACATTCATCATTGGAAATTTGCACCTTTACATAATCTCTCTTGGTTCTTATTTTTTCCCCTTCCCCTGCCCTCCCTTCAACCCCTCCATCCCTCCCTATTTACAAAGACTTTGTTTCCATTTTTTCATTTTCTCATATTAATTCCATTCCCTTCTTTACCCCTCCCACTTCCCCTTCTCCTTTGCCCCTTTTCTTCCTATTTCACATTATCTATTATTCCTTTTAGTCCTTATTTACACTGTCAGTTTCTCACACTAGAGAAACTATTTGGTATTTACACATGTGTGTCCTATGGCCTTTTTTTTTTTTTTTTTGCCATTTCTGGGGATTGAACCCAGGCCTTGTGTGTGCAAGACAAGCACTCTGCCACTGAACTGTATCCCCAGTCTTCTTGTTTTCTTTATACATTTACGACTTGAGCATGCCTCCCTTTGCACTGTAATTTAGTTTTGCCTATTTTTAAAATAAACTATATGTATTATTTTGTGTCTGGGTTCTTTTGCTAAATATTGTTTCTGTGAGTTTTATCTATGTTGTGACTTATCTGTGTTGTGCATTTTATGATTCATTGCCATGTATTGTTCCATTGTATAAAGATACCATGATTTATTCATCCATTCTATAATTGGTAGACATTTTGGTCTTTTCAGCTTGGAGCTCTTACAAAAAATGGTGCAAATAAACATTTTCACTCATTATTATTGGGCACATGTATCTGTGGATGGAGTTCTGAGTCATAGAGTTTATGTGTTCTTTAATTTTTATAGATAACATCAAACTTTTCCAATTTTGTTTTACTAATTTCCACTCCCAGCAGTAGAATATGTATGTTTCTGTTGTTTCCAACAGTTTTCAAAAGTGGTTCTATTAACTTAA